TATGTGTGTGTGTGTGTGTGTGTGTGTGTGTATGTGGGCTAATATACATCTCGTTGTGTATTCGTTTTTCAGTAGATGGTCCGTGTTTTTCGTAGCAAAATCAACACCGTATGATCGTGGCAGTCGACACAATTCCTTCCTTTTACATTATACTGCGAATCTGTACCCTCCATTTTAGGGTGATGAGGATGTGAATTCAAGCGCGACCATCAATCTTGCGAGTGGCCGGAGTGTGACAACCCGTTTGGTAATTGGAGCCGACGGAGCGAATTCGTTCGCCCGGCGTAGTGCCGGACTTGAGCATGTGGGATGGAATTATGCACAGGGAGAGGTGTGTATGTTTATGTTTCTACGAGTTTGAGATCAAGTAAGTCACTCATGACAGCAACAGTTACAGGGAGGAGTATTTTTGTGTCAGTTTGTACAAGTTTATAATATCAATCAAGTGCCTCATGACAACAACAGTTAAAAAAGGGGTATGTATGTTTCTTTTTTCTACGAGTTCATGCGATTAATCAAGCCCCTCATGACTACAACAGTTAAAAAGAGAGGCATGTATGTTTCTGTTCTCTATGAGAGTGTAGGCGCTCAATCAAATCCCTTATGACTACAAAGTCGTAATTGTATGTCTGTTCCGCCTTATGTAGTAACCGATACACCACATTGTCAATCACTGGCGGATATGCCTCCTTGTGGCTTTAGAGGGTACACATGCCACGCCGATTATCACTCCATACCGTGATCGCCCATCAGCTGGCTTTGGTCTGGGTTGGATTTGTACTCAACTGGAGGTAGTTAGTTCAATAACCTTGGTGGCTATTGTGTTCATGGCTCTCGGCAAGGGAGGCTACGCAGCCAAACAGTTCGCTCTGGCCAACACACCGAGAACAAAGTCACGAGCGATCCAGATCGATTCCTTTACACTTTTTTTTAATTTTTCTTATTAAACTTGTGAGCAGTCATGTCTGTACTATTTACCACCTGTCTAAGTGCGAGGCTCCGCGTTCCGGAGCGAACTTTCTCTTCTTCCACGTGTGACCTGCCTTCTCCCAGTGTGGAAACCACGGTTTCGCACGTGTGAACCAAGGGTTTTTTTCTTCAATATTCCTTGTTTTCCTCATCTCACAGCACGGCCACTGGGGTGTGGTTGGTACGATCGAGGTGGAGAATCGGGGCGTGAACGACACTGCTTGGCAAAGGTTCCTGCCCACCGGACCCGTTGCGATGCTTCCGGTAACTGTGTGCATGTGTGCAAACATATATTTTATTGGGAATATATATATATATACATATATATATATATATATACATATATATATATA